TAGTAAGAGAAAGAAAACCTTACTTTTAAGATATTATTTAAAGAAATTGTGTATAGTTAAGTAAATTGAAAACATATTTTCTCCCTTCTTTAAGCATAACTTCGTGCTACAACGGTAGCACACTTGGTGCGTATTCGAGAGGTCCAGGGTCCGAGTCCCGAAGAGGTAATTAATTACACATATTCTGCTTTGAAATACCTAACGACTCTACAATGGCGACCGAACTAAAAGGTAGTGGAGGGTAATAAGTCTCCACCAGGATTTGGCGATTATGTTCTCTGATACCCAGTCGTCCTTTAGCATGGGGAGTATATAAGTATTTTCTCTCTCTGCCTTCGTGGTGTAGTAATTAAAAGATAACTAGATGCGTATTCGAGAGGTCCAGGGTTCGAGTCCCGGAGAAGGCACATCTCTGGGGGGGGGGAACTAATTACTATACAAAGCTTAAATCTGATATCACAGTTTGCAAAGCAGATTTCGCCTTGTATTAACCTAAGCCGCTTTATAAAATCAAATATGTTCCGAACAGAAATTATTTTAATAAACGGTGGATATTGCATACTGTACAATCGTTCTAAATCTTCTTAAAATACCTTTACCTCTTACCTGGCCAAAAGAAAAACGTTACTTTGTTTTTTGCATCACATAAATTCCAATAGAACATACTTAATTTTGAAAATATCCTCTTTTACCAGTTAATGAAATGTTTTCGCAATTTCCTTTAAAAAAATGTTTACGAATTCTTAGAAGTATTTCTATTATAAAATACTTAGTTTTCTCTGACACCTCTGCGTAACTTGGCTTCAAAATTCCTATTTCTCTGAAGGGAAAGGAAAAAAAAAAAAAAAAAAAAAAAAACAGGAAAAAATAAGACCCGGGAAAGAGAAAAGGCGAAATGATAAACATAACAGTTAGTTCGTTTACGGTAACATCGCTTGCAGAATAGAGTTTCGGATTCCAGTTTGGCAACAGAAATTGTTTACTTTAATATTGTCTCTAAAATAGGAGAGAATAATGTTCAACAAGTTATTTCTCACTGTTTATTTTTCTAGATGAAAGTTTCTCCGAATTGCCAGTGAGTTATTAAGAAAGCTTTTTTCGATCGCTTGCTTCCGTAAATGAAGCGAAGAGAGAAGATAAGGGGATTATGAGAATAGAAATTGGAACTTCTAAAGAAGGGAGGTCGATAAGGAAAGAATTCTGCGAACCTTTCATTTGTTCATATTACCGCCACAATCTGCTCGCTGTCATGTATCTTCTTTCAATCTTGAGTTTTTTTTCAATCTTGAGTTTTTTACAGTTGTTTTCCGAGTGTTTCAAAGTACCATTTGTTAAAATTATGATTGTTTCAAAGTTTAATTTGAAGTACACAAGTAGCTTAGTGAAGCATGAATTTATTATACGTATTTTTGTTGCTTCAAATTTAATTACAATCTATTTTCTCAAAGCTGAATATTTCATATCAGACATAAATATTGGGTCAGTACATAAATTCGTACGCATTTTTTGGTAAATTTTTAAATAAATATATAAAAAAACACAATTTAACATTTTAATCAATTATATATTTTCCTCTATTATCTACAATGTCTCGCCATCTTACAGGCAGCTTTTTTTATGCCATTGCTGTAGAAAGACTCTGGTTTTGATGCAAAAACACTTGAAAATTCATTGTGTGCATCCTGTTTAGAATTTGAATTTTTACCCAGTAAAAATTTTTGCAAGGCAGGAAATAAGTGAAAAGCACTTGGGGCAATATCTGGGGAGTAAGCAGGATGTGGCAAAAGCTCCCAATTAAATTCACTAATTTTTTGCAGCGTTGTTCGAGCCGTATGCGGTCTAGCGTCATCACGATGAAACAACACTTTCTTGATATTCACCGATCGTGGGCGTTTTTGATCAATTCTGAGTTGCTGAGACTGCAAAGTTGTTCACTATAAACTTCTGAATGAATCGTTTGATTTGGTTCTAACAGTTCAAAACCTCCTGAACGGGGTTCACCATGAATGCTGCTTTTTTCAACTTAATTTTTTTAAACCATTTCTGGGCAGTGCAACTTTTAAATTGTTGATAATTCTACAACTATTGTATGCAGATTAACTAAAGGCATAAAACGTAAATGGAACACTAGAGCAACATACTTCAGTCACTTACTTTTAATGCAAAAAATGTACAATTTCGAAATAAGCAAGAGTAAAAAACAGAGCTCAAAGAAGGTGAGATATACATATACGTTTGGTCGGATTGCAACAAAAAATTGATGTGCACAACTAGCTGTTATAGCCCTACCATATATAAAATTTCAACTTTGTGTTAATTGTTAAAAGCTAATCCTTTTAGTGATACGTGATACATACAGAGGTACGTACACACAAACGTACAGATGTCAGGAAAATATATTTGTGAAACAATTTCAAATCCATTTTCAATATATTTTGGGAAAAAGGATCTTTATTCTGTCAGCCTTATCCTTTATTTGTTGTTATGTAAAAGTAATTGTATTTTTTAGTTTATCGTATTTTGTTTCAGTAAGAATTTTACCTTATTTAAGCGTTTAAAGAATTTTATTTCCATAAACCAAATAAAACACAATTTTTTTCAACAAAATTAAGAGATGACATTGGTTAAATCTTTAGACACACAACCCATTTTTATTTCTACAAACATAAATCCACGTAGTTATCTTTTACTTAGGCGCGTTCTTAAAATAAATGTCTACTTATTTTATTAAAATTTATTCTTTCTCTACTTATTTTACTAAAAGTCTGAAGGTTGGTTTTTATGTGCATAACATAAAATACTTAATTTATTTCATTTAAACTAAAATTAAGCCTCTCATTAATTTTTTATATAAAATAATAATACAAAAATGAAATAGATAGTATTACAAATTTTCGTTAACAGTATATTGTAAATTTATGAATTATATATTTTTATGTTAACTAATTTAAAGAAATATTAAAAAAAAAAAGGAAAATAGAAAGAGATTTTTAAAAAATAACATACATTCTTAAAGTTTTAGATTGTAGTCCTAAATATCCCAATTAATTAAAAATAAAAAATTCCAAAGATTAAGAACATAAGAAAATTAAAAACGTAACATTATGCAAATATTTCATTTCCCTTCTTAAATAAAAAATAACAAGTATTTTTTCAGTTAATAAAAAAAAGATTTTACAGCTTGATAAAGTTAAAATTCAAGAAGTTTCTTCGAATTTAAAAATCTGCTACGTTTTCTGTGTATTCTTTTAACATAAAATGGCATAAAATTAAAAACTGAAAATGTAAGAAACGTATGTTTAAATTTTGAATATTCAGTATTCATTCCATATTCAGTTCATAATAAAGCATATGAAGAAACTCCAAAACCAGAAGCACAATGGCAAACTCCAAGAGAACGGAATACAAAAAATGCCAAACCCAAAAATGAAATAAGAAATTTACTTCGCTGCATTGTTGGTTGGTGCTAGGAAAGAAATAGATCAATCAACCTGTTTCTGACCTATAAGATACACAAACTTTAAAACAATCCCAGAAAAAGAATCCTGTTTTTGTAAAATTAAATTAATTAATTAAATTAATTAACTTTAATAAAACCAATTAATTAACTTTAGTTAATTAAATAACTTTTAATAAAACCAATTAATTTAGTTAATTTAATAACTTTTAATAAAACCAATTAATTATAATTAATTAAATAACTTTTAATAAAACCAATTGATTAACTTTAGTTAATTAATAATTTAACTTTTGATTAATTAAAAACTTTAGTTACTTAATAATTAAATTAATTAAATAACTTTAGTTACTTAATAATTAAATTAATTAAATAACTTTAGTTAATTAAAATAATTTTGTTTCTATTAGTCCAAAAACCTACAGGCCGAAGTACGCAGTGTAACAAATTGTAAAATTATAGCATCAAAAACATAAAAAAATGTAAAAAAGGATAAAAAATTAATTTGAGCAGATTGAGTCAAAAAAAAAAAAACCACTATTCAAATAAAGGAAATCTAGTGTATGAAAAAAAAATTACCTAAGTTTCGAAATCACACAGGCCTGGTTAAAATTTTTAACAATTTAAAGCATCAAAATCATAAACAAGCAAAAAGCTTAAAAATCTAATAATAATTTTTAATTTAAGTGGACCGAGTCCAAAATAACATGTAAAGCATAAGGAATCCATCTTCTAAAAAACTGTGAATGAAAATTTGATCTAAAAATGTAAAATGAAAACGAAAAAAAGTAAAAAGAGGAGTTAGTTATTAAAATCTGTAACATTAGTGCAGCAAAAATATTAGTCCTCTTTAGAAGCAAAATATACTCGTATTACTAATGAGCAATGATTTAACGAGAACCCGGATTTAACGAGGAAATGGAAAATACGTGGTTGATGCAAAATGGAAAATACTTGGTTGATACAACGTTAAGTCTATGGGAGTATAACTCGTTTGTAAAGGTTATATGTTGCATTAATTTTTTATTTATTTTCAGTTTTTGAATGCTTTGCGTTTTTCCAGTAAAAATTTATTATTTAATTCAAAAATATGAATTACAAAGGTAAAAATATTCCTGAATCTTTCTTGCACCTGCAAATTTTGGAAACATGCCCTTCAAATTTTAAATTCTGAAAACACAGTCACCACAGTGCGGTGATTTGCAGATGCTTTTTTTTCCCGCGAAACGTTTTGCGATGATTTTTAAAACTGAGAAGTTTTCGAGTCTTTTTATAGTTGACAATGATGTTTTTTTCTACGATATTTTTTCCTTTCTCGGTGGATTTGTACGTTATTTCCACACTTTTACTGGAACCGTTGCCAACATTCCACTGAGAAATTTTATTAAGTTCAGATTATGGATCGAGCGTTTAATCGATATTCCAACAATAAGAATTCTACTATTTGTAATTAGTTCCATTTCGAGTTTTAATATCTGAAACTAATTTCGATTACAGTTTATTTTTTATCGATGACTGACATACGTTAATAGGTGATACTTACATCGATGAAAGACGCGTTGATATAATCAGAATCAGGAACTCCGGGAAGTGCCTCCAAAACTACACGGTTATAATCATCTGTAAGAAAAAATTATACAAGTACATTAGACAATACGTATCAAATATATTTATACATTAAAAACTTTTTACATGTTATATTTAACATACTGTTACGAATTTTGTACATAGATAGGTAATTTTACTGCAGTTATATGTGAAATTGTTGTATTTTTCTGTGTAATGTAAAGCGAAACATATTTTAAGAGAAATCTATGCCGGCAAAATACGAATACAGGGGCAAGGGCATTTAACAATGAGTAAATGGGTATCTCGGTAATTTGGAGAGATATCGTCAAGCTGAAAACGATTTTTTGGTGAGTTATTTTGTCGCCAAATTTGGCGACCATTTGGCAGTATTTGTGTCCGGTTCTTGTATGACCGTAATATGGATTCAAATTGAATAAATGTAATTTACCACTAATAGGGAACTCAGGAATAGTTGCACAATTTTCGAAAAGGTATTTATATTGTTACGAATTTTATACTTAGGTAGGTAATTTTAGTAGAATTATAAGTAAAATTGTTGTATTTTTCTGTGTAATGTAGCGCGAGATAAATTTTAAGAAAACGTTATGCAGGTAAAGTAATAACGCAGGAGTAAGTTCATTTAACAATGACTAATGGGTATTTTGGTAGTTTGGCGAAATATCGTCAAGCTGACAATGGTTTTGGTGACTTTTTGTCGCCAAATTTGGCAAAAAATTACCTAATGTCACCAAATTTGACGACCATTCGGCAACATTTGTATCCGGTCCCTGTATCACCGTAATATGTATCGAAATTGAATAAACGTAGTTGACTACTGTGTTATCTGTAACAGTAATTCTACCCTTATATTGCTGTCCAATAATTTCGAGAAGCAGAAAGTACTAGAAATATCTCGGCGGCCCGTTAAAACCTATTTAAGACCGAAGAGAGAATATTTGCTCTCAGTTGCTTAGTTATTGTTGTGCGAGTCGTTAGTTCCGCGTGAATTGAGATATATCCGAGTTAGTTTTCTCTTTATATGAGCTTTGCACTGCGTTGTGTTTAACGTTTTTATTAGTGTAATTCGTAATTAATGACTTTGTGATACTGTGAACTCTTATGTGAGTATTTCTGAGGAAAATTCTAGAACATTGAAATGTTTCTGCTGATAAAATAAATTTATTAACCTATCAGCGGACTTGTGTGCATTCAATTACAAAAACATACGCATGCCACAATATGTATCTTATAAATATGTCTGAGGTTTCAACGTATTACGCAAATTAGGCAAATACTTTTAAGTATCTAAAAATTAATCTATTGAAGTCGTCGAATTATTTACATAAGTTTGAAAGAATATACGACATAACTAATGTTGCAGAAAACATTTTCATTGGCAATATTTGAAACAAAGCTTTCGTGCCTTACTAGTTCATTTCAAAACGTTAGAATAAATTTACTAAGATAAGAGCAAAAGCAGAAACTAATTAACGAAAATTTATTTTTGGGACTGCGCGACCGAATCGATTGTTGATAGAACAAAAGGAAGTCTTTTTAAAACAAATTACATTAGCATAACTTAGTAAGATAATTATAACATTAAAATATTTGGTACACAGACTTTAAATACAAGCTTTTCTGCCAGCCTACAGTACTATCAACCATGATATTTTTCTTCATTAATATATTAAGAAAGAAAACAACTATTGCATTAACAATGTTTAAACAAAGAGAAGGTATTAAGGATACTCTATTATCATCTTCGCTTCATTGTATCAAGTAGACTGAAAAGGCATTTTAATGAAAAGACTGGAGACGTAGGCCAATAAGTCTGGATTTTGTTTTTTAATGTTATTTAATAATTGTTAATTTTAATGATCTAAATTTTGAAATAATACATTAGTAATGCGAGGTACGTTCAAGTATTTATTAGCGCAGATAGGTTAACTTTAAATGTCGGTTCACTTTTCAAACTGTTGCCACCAAATATTACAGCTCTGTGTTATATTTAAATAATTTAAATTGCAAGGATTATGTTAATTTTATTAACAGTTAAATTTTGAGTTTAAGTTCCTTTCCTGTCGATTCTTAACTTCAGCTTACTACTTCCGGTCAGAATGTAGTTTTAGAATCACTCTGAATACTTAATGAGAAACAGCGGTATTTAACCGCGAAGATATACTTGCTCAGTTGGAGAGAATCAGAGTTTCTGATTTTTACGCGTCTGCCCTTTTGGCTACTCTCTTGCAAAGCTGTTATTACGCTCGGCCGTACTCAGGCCTTTGATAGCTTCGCAGTCAATTAGAGTTAAAGGGCCAACTTGGTTAGAATCTTGATACCTTCGGCTATATCTCTTTTTAGTTTAAATTAGTTTTAGTTTAATTCTTAGTCTCTTAAGTTCAAGCCCAAGTGTCGGCTTTTATTGTACACTCCAAAACGGAGTTCTGTTAAATCTTATTTAAATAATAAACGGTTATTTACCCTTTCGTCTTCTTGTTTCTTGTCACACGAACTCAAGCGATTATTCGCTTAACAGTTCTTAAGTTCCTTCACGTTCAACAATAACTTAGCATTTACAAAGTTAGGAACTCTACAAAATAATAACTAATAATAATACAAAATAATAACTAATAATAATACTAATAACGACGGTACCTAGAACCATCAAATTTTGAATAATGTAATCCTCCACCAAATATGTTCTTCCCTAATTTTCCCTAACTATAAGCCCTAATTTGGAATTTGTTTTATTATCTACAGTGGAATGACAAAAATATGGAAACACCTTGTGAAATGCATGTTTGAAAAGAAAGATTGATTTTAATGAAATATGTAGGTGGCGCTGGCTTTTTTGACTACTGACGCCACCTATACAACTTCGTAAATGTGCTAAACAGTTCAGTTGTTTGTCGGAGTACTGTTATGTGAGGTTGTCATTGCATTATGTCAGAGTTAACAGACTTCGAACGTGGGCAAATTGTTGGAGCACGTATGGTAGGTGCTTCCGTAAGCAAGGTAGCCGAGGTGTTTATTGTTTCAAGAGGTACTGTATCGAAGATTTATTCCGCATATTTGAAAAGCGGAAAAACATTATCTGCTAAATCACAGCGCGGACGAAAGTGTGTCCTGAGTGATCGTGACAGACGATCATTAAGGACAATTGTGACGAAAAATAAGAAGACCACAGCTGCACAAGTTACTGCTGAAATGAATGTTGTGTTACCGAACCCTGTGAGTACCAAAACAATTTGAAGGGAGCTTCATAAACAGGGCATTGCTGGCCGTGCTGCAATTGAGAAGCCACTCATCAGTGATGCTAATGCCCGTAAAAGGAAAAGGTGGTGTTTAAGTCATAAAGGCCTGAACTATAGAGCAGTGGAAGCGAGTAATATGGTCTGACGAGTCTTCTTTCACATTGTTTCCCACTTCTGGGCGAGTTTACGTCTGGAGAACGCCATCTCAAGCCTATAATACAGACTGCTTGTTGCCAAGAGTGAAACATGGCGGGGGTTCTGTTATGGTTTGGGCAGCCATATCGTGGTTCTCTGCTAGCCCCATCATATCTGTGTCAGGGCACATGACTGCTAAGACTTATGTGAACATTTTGGCCGTTCATCCCATGGTACAAACTTTGTTCCCCGATGGTGATGGTGTCTTCCAAGACGACACAGCCCCTGTTGACACAGCTCACATTGTCCAGGACTGGGTTTCTGAGCACGAGGATGAGTTGTCCCATCTTCCCTGGCCACCACAGTCACCAGACCTGAATATTATCGAACCTTTGTGTTCTACATTGGAACGGAAAGTGCGTTCTCGTTATCCACCGCCAACATCGTTATCTGAACTTGCCACCGTTTTGCAGGAAGAATGGTATAATATTCCCTTGGCAAACATACAGGAACTGTATTTATCCATTCCGAGAAGACTGCAAGCTGTTTTGGATGTCAACGGGTTTCCTACACCATATTAAGCAAAGAAACATGTTTTTTTAAAGGTGTTTCCATATTTTTGTCCAACCCATGTATCTCATATTTTTTCAGATATTAAAGAATTGTTGATTAACAAACTCAACGATTTCAAAGCGAGGAATGGCAACACTGTACGGGGGGGGTGGAAATTATCTCCACACGCGAGACTGTTTATCGGATAAAAATATATTCATTTTAAAATTATTTTGCGATACTGCTATTGAATTGAGTGTTATGGTTTAAGTGCGAAAATTATTATATTTAATAAATAAAGGTGACACACAAAACGTTAAAAAACGCGCCCTTGCGTGTAGTGTAAAATCTAAAGCCTTTCAGTTTATATATTTTTTATGTTATTCATAAATTTATTAATCTGCTTCTCCTAAAGAATTCTTGTGTTGAGTGCGTTTGGGTTCGTAATAGTTTGAATGCCTACAGATCCGATGAAACGTTAATAAAATTTATTTTTATCAAATAAAAAACTTCAATGTTCCGGTATTATTCACAGAAGTACTCGAACAGATTTTAATAGCATCACAGAGTATAATTAGAAGTTACACTTCAAACTACAAAGAACGTTAAACACAACGCAATGTAAAGCGCACTTTAAGAGAAAGCTAACCCGGAAATATCTCAATTCACGCTACACTAACAACTCGCAACAACAACATAAACAACTAGAGCAGATCACGGATCATCAGTTTGCTTCAACTACTGAGAATACACTGGTGTGCAAAAATTAAGGACGAGACTGTTTTTTTCAATATAACTTTGTACAAAAGCTTTCCAAATCAACACATTTAATACCGTAAGATCCCCAATACGTAAGGACATGAGTAATGTAAGCAACACTTACTAAAAGAGAAATCAGAGGGATAAAAAGAAGCTTTATTGAAAACGTAGCATGGAGCGCAATGCAATTGAAGGCCGAAACATCCCTGTGATGTGTGTCCAGCAAGAAACATCCGGTCTTTAATAGGGGGATATGATCTTCCCTGACTGCTAGGCAGGTTTCACAGCGTCTGCCCATGCTGAGAATGAGGGTGTCAATGAGTTGTTGAGGCATTGCTGCCCATTCGTCTT